GGGGGACGCTCCTCGTCTGCCCTCGAAACAGATCCCCCGCTTTCCTGGGGCCTTTGGAGTGCTTTCCCCCCGAGGCGGTCTTGGACCCCTCGGCGGTCTGGCCCTCCTCCGAGCCGGTTGAGGGCGGAAGTACGGGGCCTTTCCCTGTTGTCATTATGGCGGTCCCGGGACTGAACTTCCTGGGAGGACGTATCTTGGGCCACCACCCCTTCGTCGTTTCTCACCCGAGGGGTGGGATTTCCGAAGGGGTGTGGCAGAGGGGGAAGTATGATATTTTCCCCGATCTGAGGGTGAGCTGGAGCCATGGTGCCGAAGGCACCCGGGTTCTGGGTGAGCGTTTGGATGAAGGCGGAGAGCGCCGATTGTACGTCGATGGTGAGAACCGGAGGGCTGACTTGGTCATCGCTCCGGTTTTTCTTCTTGGCCTCGATGCCGAGGCGGGCATCGGGGGCATTCTGTTGGATCTGAAGGCGTAGATCGACAGCCGCCTGTTCCAGCCCAGCAATGACACTGCCCTCGGGAGCCCTGTGAGAGGCTTCGGGGGCGTTGACGTCGCCGAGGGCCAGGTTCTTGTCTTCTACGTTCTTTGAGTTGGCACGTGTTGTTCTCACCATTTTGATAGAGGGCTAGTGTTTTGTGTTTGGTCGAGGGGGAGGGTTTCTTACTCGATTGTTCGACCTCTCAACGAGAGCACCAAATGATGGATAGTCTACCCGGGGGTATATATCCGAAGGGTTATTACGGGGAATAAATTAGAGAGAAGTCAAAGCAAGTAAGTAAAAGTAGAGAGAGAGTGTATTCAGTATGAATGCCGTTTTCAGCGTGGTTACAAATAGGGAAATGGGGTGCTATTTATAGTAGCAATAAATGCCGGACAGGGACACGTGTCAAGCGCTCATTGGCCGAGGGGTCACCTCAACTGGTTGGCGCTGGCAGCCGCATGTGACCGCATTTAATGCGGCTATTGGATGGGACGTCTGTACAGGGTACGGTGATCTATACGTATGTGAGGCGGATATCTTGTCGAGTGAGATGCCTTCGGCTATAGAGCAGTAGCTGAGGGCTCCTCCAGCCGATGGCACCTTGGTGCCGAGGGCTCACAGTGCCGAGGGCTACTGTTTTCGCCGTTTTCTCCCAGTTTCATAGTTTGCTTGAGAAACCCGTTCTGTGAGAGTTTAGAGCCTTCGGCCAGGGGGCCGAAGGCACCCCTGGCGCGTAGTGCGGGCTGCTTGGTACTCTGGGCGCTGTGATTTGGGCCTGTTGGGCCTTTTGGGCCTGTTGGGCCTTCGCTGGAGTAGTAGGAGTCTGTGGGCCGGGGGTTCCCGGGCCATATACTCCATCAATATGGATACCAACACTTCATCCTTAGAGGGTCAAATTCTCTTCTTGACTTCTCTAATAAAGGAATTTACCTTAAACTCAAAAGCTCAAGATGTCAAGACATGCATCGTACGAATTTCTGCCCAAAGCTCCAAGATGAATACCTTGAACAAATTGATGATGTTGGTTACGAAAGGGATGTACCTCACATGAGGTATGATCCGTTCACCAACTCTAACATATCTACGGAGGATATGGTTCGGGCTATTGCTACCAACATGACCACCATGCAAAACAACATGGTGCAATTCCAAAATGAGACCAAGTCTAGCATTTTAAACTTGGAAACTCAAATGAGTCAAATAGTCTGAGCCGTGAGTAGGCTTGAAGCAAGGGATTCAGAAAAACTTCCTTCTCAAATAGAATGTGATCCTAAACATTAAACTTTTGCAATCACATTGACAAATGAAAAGGAAATGCAAAAAGAGCCAAAATCCAGAAGAAGTAGAAGAAGAAAAAGACACGGAGCTGCATCTGGTCAAAGAAGAGGATGAACCGAGTTTCAAGGTCAAATACCTATCCTTATCATTCTTTGAGGTACCCCATCAGTTCTAAAAACTTTGAGAGAAACTCATAAAATTGAAAAGGAGAGTGACATCTTTGAAATTCTAAGCAAAATTGAGGGATCCATACATTTTCCATTGACCATGTTAAACGATAATTTCTTTCCCTCACTCCCACCATATGAATCAATGAAAATCTGGATATTTGATCCTGGAGGGATTTTCACAGTGAAGGGTCAGAAAATCGAGCATTCCTATGGAAGTCCGATCCTAGGAGTGAAAATGTGGCGAAGATAAACTATCACGATCCAAGTTTAAATGATTGAGCACAACGATGGCGTCGTGCCGCGACGTTAAATAAGGCGCTTCTTGGGAGGCAACCCATGTAAGGTACGTTTACTTTTTATTCTAGTTTAAGTTTACGCTTAAAAAAACCTGGGGAACATACCCGGCCGGGTACCACACTACATCAGGTCGGGTATAGAGTAAAAATACCCTACCCGCACAACTCACCCGGGCGAGGCAATGAACGAGTTCAAAATTAATATACTACCCGACCGGATCTGCTACACCACCCGGCCGGGTGTTTTTCCCCAAAACTCTCTGGATAGCTATAAGTTAAGCCCGACCGGGCCATATTATCCCACCCAGCCGGGTCATCGGTTTTTGACAGTAAAAGAGGCTGGGCAACCACCTTCTTCCCCATTTCCCCTCTCCCCCATACGAACCACAACTCTCAAAACCTCCATTTTCGCACCTCAAACCTTTGATTCTACCAAAAAAGAGTACCTCCCAAATAACCAAAAATCCAAATCCCCTTGCTCCACAAACAACAAAAGCCGTAATTTGCCCAACCAAAAAGAAAATAAAAGACACCAAAAGGGCAAAAGGGATTCATTCTTTTGGACATCTTGGACACAAGCACTAGGGACAGTGCTTTGATTGGCTTGGGGGGAGAATTTCATGGAAACTCACAGTCATACTCTATATTCTTGTATATTTTTCAAACAACAAAAACTCGTTAAGTTGGAAACCCGGAAGGGCAACTTAAGCAAAAATAAAGCAAAAATAAGAGTGAGATGTGAGGATTAAAACAGAAAAATGTGGGAAGCTGGGATGAAAATCCAAAAGGGCACCTAGGCAAAATGAGAGAATGAGAGAAAGTATTTTCTTTTATTTCTGCAGGATCCTGAGGGTAACGAAAAAAAAATGAGATTGATAAGAAATATAGAGTTGAAGACCCCTATTTACTCTTACATTTTTGGGGATATTTTTTTTGTTTTACTCGAGACGAGTAAAGGTTCAAGTGTGGGGGTATTTGATATGCACTAATTAGTAGTGCATAAATGTATATTTTTATGATTGATTTGTGTGTATTGTTTACCGCTTTATTTAGTTTGTAAACATTTGTGTGAATTTAGTTGTAATTGTATTTTAATCTTCATTGATAAGTTGTAAAGTAGAATTAGGAATTATGGTGTTGAAAAGGAGGACTTTGAAGTGAAGAAAAAGGAGATTTGACTATCGAGGAGCTGAAACCCGACCGGGTAGAAGACTTCACCCGGTCGGGTCTGATTTAACAGACGAAATTTCTTGAAAAATCACTAGACCCGGTTGGGCCCACTACCTCACCCGGTCGGGTGAGAAGTGACCGGGGACAATCCGGCGTGCGAAGATCACCAGAACGTGGCAAATATTTGATTTTGACTGATACCCGGTCGGGTATGACACTTTACCCGGTCGGGTATCCGCCCCAGGGTGTTGAAAACACCTATAAATAGCACACTTTTCCTTCACTTTTAATCATCCCTTCTTCCATACTCCTAAGCTCAGTTTAGAATAGCATTTCTTTCTATTTTTCTAGCTATGTTTAGTCTCCAAATGAGGAGCTAAACTTCCATTCTTGGTGTTGCTCTTGAAGCTTGTTGATTATTAAAGTTGTGAGTTATTTTCTTAACTTCTTTCCTTGAATATTAATTAATAGTTCTTTCCTTAATACCATCTCTATAGTAATGTTGGGGAGTGTTGCTAAGATGACAATTAGTTAACATCTCGACATTAGTTAGAATAGTATTTTCTTCCTCTATATTAATGTTGGGGAGTGTTGCTAAGATGACAATTAGTTAACATCTTGATATTAATTATAGTAGGATTCATCTTCTTTAATAATATTCTTCCTTGAATATTAATTAATTCCTATTCATATTTCATATTAATATTTTGAACATTACTTAAAGGATCAACTAGTTTTGTTTCATATATTAATTATTACTAGAAACAATCAACGAACCGATGGTTAATCGTTGATGGTTTCACAAGTAAGTAACTTCGGTTTATTAATGCACGATCGTGGTTAATAAACTTAAGAGGGATTAATTTTGTTGGTTAAACTGAAACCGTTGTGTTGAGGTTATCAATCTCAATTGATTTCATCAAGGAGTTAGAAAGATTAAATGCTACTATTAAATCGGTATAAGGCGTTGTTCTATATTTGATTAATAGTAAGGGTTATTAATGAACGGTTGTTGTTAATAACTACCCTCGATAAAGTGGATATACTTCCCGATTGAGTATTCGAGAGGGAATAAGTTGTAGATATAACAATGATCGACTAAAATATATCAACAAGTGGAAAGTAGCAATGCCAAGTCCTTTTTTATCTCTGAAATAAACACATATAGGTTGTTCATCTTAGTTTTTAAATTAAATCATTCAATCTCAAAACCCCCCTTTATTTACTAGTTTTATAAAAAGAGAATTATTCCTTTCCTTGTGGATACGAACTCTACTTCACCTATACTACGTATAAGTGCTAGTTTCGATTTATTTTGACACACCGTGACAAAGTGCTCATCACACGCCAAAACAGATAAGTAATGATATGAATTTGGAATATGGGATTTCTATGTCGTACAAGAAATCTTGGCAAGCACAGAAACGTGCAATGGAAAGGCAGTTTGGATCTGATGTAGAGTCATACCAGAAGCTACCTTTAATGGCATATGTACTTGAAGAAGCAAATCCAGATTCTGCCATAAAACTTATAACTGTTGCTGATGGTGTATTTCAGTATTTTTTCATTTCACTCAAACCTTGGCGTGAAGCATGGGAATTTTGTAGACATGTACTTATCTTAGATGGTTCGTTCATGAAGGCATATTACAAAGGTACTTTGCTTACGGCGTGTGCTCAAGATGCCAACAATCCCATAGTTCCCTTAGCATTTGCAATCTATGATTCTGAAACAAAAGCAACTTGGCTATGGTTTCTAACCAGATTGTGTGGTTCAATCTCTATGCGACGTGATATGTATATTTTGTCTGATCGCAATGAAGGCCTAATATTTGTTGTTGCTGAAGTTTTTCCCCATGCTCTTCATGGCTTTTGTGTTGAACACCTGAGGTGCAATTTAATTTTAAAATTTAGAGGTGGTGCCAATGGTCTTGGATGAAAGTTTAAAGTTGCTTATTCATCTAACACTATACAAGCACTTGAGGAATATTTATCAACGTTGGACTCAGACGATACTAGGATCCGACCTTGGTTAAATAAAATTGGTAATCATAGATGGCTAAGTGTATTGCTGGTCCACGCATATATGGCATCATGACATCAAATTGTGCAGAATCGTTAAACAAAGTAAATGTTTATACCAGAGAGTATTCAGTTTGTAAATTGGTTGATTCTTTGCGTGAAAGAATGCAACAATGGTTCACGGAAAGAAGTGAAGAAGCTCTTATAACATCTACTTTTTTGTCACCCAAACGCGAGAACCATTTAGTTGCTTTGCAAGCTCAATCTACATGCATACAGGTTTGAGTTTATTTGTTTCATTAATTGAATTTGTAACTTATTGCCATATATGTTGCTATATTTCCGTATAATTGTCTTTATTGCCAACTGTTAGTTTATCAATATCAGTCTTACCTTTTGTTTGTTTACATTCATTATTTCGTAACTGTAATTTTTATATAATTTCTACCAGGTCAAACCAACTTTTTATTTCGAGTTTGAAGTTGTGGATCGCTACTGTAGATCTTTTGTTGTTAACCTCAACCACAAGACATGCACTTGTGGCGTTTTTCAATTGGGACAATTTGTGTGTGCTCATGCAGTTGCCGCTATTCGTGTTCGCCCGCGTTTATCCTGTTATGACTTCATCTCACCAATCTATTCACGTGATTCATGGTTTTCAACTTGGAGTGCTGTTGTACATCCCATTGTTGATCCACAATCATGGTTGGTGCCTCAAGATGTTCGTGATAAGATTTGCAAGCCGCCAAATTGTCTCAAGAGACCTGCTGGACGTCCTAAGAAGACCACAATTCCTTTTGTTGGGGAGTTTCGTGGATCTGGATCTAAACGTCAAAAGTGTTCTCGTTGCCATGTACTTGGGCATAATAAAAAATCTTGTCGCAATCCTATCCCTATTTCTATGCAGTGATGAAATTTATTTCTGTTTTTTCCTTCCAGTATTTGGTTACATTTTCCTATATCAATTTTATGAGTCATACTTCTTTAATGACAAACATATGCTCTTTATGTTACCAGAAACATTTGTGATGAATGTTACCCAATTTTCACATTTGAAGCTCAATTTAAATCAATATGGACACCCCAATAAGAATTGATCTTAAATAACGAGTAGACATTTTTGATATTAAAACATTAGTACATTCAATCAGTTCAACTTGGACAAAAGAAAAGAAATGAAAAAACTGTTTGCATAGTTTAAATTAGACACAAACATTACATATATTGTCAAATACAAAATCATTTGTCTAATCATTTCCAAGGAATTTTCCATAAACACTGCTCTGTATCTCGTTAGAATGGGCACAGGCTAGTGGATTTTCTACATTGCATCGATCAATACGCATCAGTAGGAAGCGAACGCGACCGTGTTTGAAGAACTCCATTATGGAACGCTTTGGTATGTCAAAGTACTGCTAGATTTCTTCGACCATAGAAGAGCTCTCTTTGTAGAACATACCATCATTTTCCCCATAACAGGTCTGCACCCTTTTCCTTAGGTCCATGTATGCCCTCAAGTAATGTTCACAATTTTCCTATTGAGCAAAGTTACATAACCAAAGTTAGATGATATGAATGTTTGCATAATTATTGCTCTGTAAGATGTAGAAAATAATCAATTGATGCCCTCACCTTTGTTGTTTTGAATGGTACGTATAAATAAGAGCGCGGGTTAAACAAGTTGTTATAGGAGAACTCTGGAATGGTTGATTTCACTGTGATTGAAAAATGATCTGCATAATATGTTTTAAAAAAATGCAAACATTTGTAATATAATAGTCTACCATAAAGTACAAATCAAACTTTAAACTGTCAGATTGCAAAATTAAACTTAAAACTGAAAGTAATAATTTAATCAATAACTTAATTGCATTTACCTATGAAGTCTGTGATGTCAACTTCATCAGAAACTGATGTATTATTGCATTTCATTGAGAAACCGTCATTTTCGTATACAAATGTTTGGAATGTGCAGTTCCCAATATGGCGAAATAAGATATGTTGGCCCAATAAAACATTGTTGTCAATAAGGAACTGGTCGAAGCCTTCTGAGAAGCAAAAACTTTCAATGTTAACCATCCACTCCCTACCGCCATGCTTAAGAATAGCACGGTGTTCAACATGCTCAAACAGATGGCGATGCATGCAGTCAGGTATTTTCTGAAAAATAATTGAACATGTTGTATACAAAATAAGAGCACTTTTTACATTCATAAGATTTGGCACTTTTTGCCTAATTTCACTTTGGCTAACACAATACTGCTTTGGAAATCCTAATACGTGTACACATATTGACTGTTTGAACAAGGTAAAACTTGTAATACACGTTAAATATTGAATACTTACTGCTGAATCAACATCATTAATTTGCAACAGGAACCAGTTGAGAGTAAACTGGTGGACATCAGGAGAGTGTACGTTTAAAGAGCTCGGGCACCCTATCACATTTCCAAACATTACAGACAATATAATTTACACACATTGAAGACAATAAATTGATTACTTGATCACTTACTTGTAGTATTTGCTTTGAGTGAGTTCAGGAAGTTATTCAAAGTCTGCTCCAAATGTTTTGTGTGAGTGAATTGCATTGAGACGTAGCTATCAAATCATGTTGTCCTGACAAAAAGTTGCCACCCTCTTGCTGTTGAGCAGTTTTGTACTCCATTTTTGCAGATGACATTGGCAATTGCGATTCTTTGTCCATTTGTTGTCATCATATAGTATGTGTAGATTTTTTTCCTTCAACAGTTGTGGATTTTTGAATAGCAAATACAGTAAAGAGGTCCATTTTAGTAGTGTTCTGTTAAATGAAAAAATTATTAAAATTCAGTTCATTACAGCAATAATTTTTCTAAATGCAGCCCATTTTTTTGCTTTAAAGCCATGCCCTATTCGTAGTTTGAAAGAAGAAGTTAGAAATAAGTTTCTGAGTAATTATAATTTTCGATTTCTAACAATTAGTAGAAGAATAGATGGTCTAATAATTATTAATCGTCCAGAAAGAAATGAATTGTACAAACTTACCTTGTTTAATTTGTTGAGAGAGATGAGCGGTTTCTGGACACTATTGTTTGAAGAACGGTGGGAGAGGAGAGAAACTGCTTGCAAGTTGAGAGGAGAGAAACTTCTAGCGTGCACCTTGTATTCAAAAGAACGTTGGGAAAGGAGAGAATATAACGGGAATCGGAGTAGTAACGGTTGTCCTTGCACCGTTTCTCGTACTAGTCTTAACGGGAACGTTGGGAGAGGAGAGAACTGCTACGTGCACCTTGTATTCAAAAGAAACTGACTAGGTTTTTTTAAGTTAACATGTTTTCCATTCCCCAATGGTCAGATGGCAAAATTGTATGCTCTTGTTCAATAACGTGTTGAATATGGACATAATTTACATGTTAGTAATGTTAATGTCATCTACCTAATTTCTTTACATTAATGTCACTTTTTTTCCAATCAATGTATATTTGTTCTTTCAAATTTTAAAAAGTATATTCACTAATTGCCTATATTTTAATGTACTTATAAATACTATACTGCTTCCTTTATTAATTATGAACTTTTTGTTGCTCTTAAATATAAAATTATACAAATATAAAGTGATGCCACTAATTGCCATCTTTTCAATACAAGTATGCTGAAAATATAAAGTGCTAATAATAGGTGTCACTTTAAGCAGAAATACATGTAACTTGTCCAAAGTAACAGAAATAACCGTAAACACAAATCACAATCCAAACATTCACACTCAACCCCAATGACATGTCCATTTAAGCAGAAAACAATATTCATTAACCCCACCCTTTTACATATTTATTTGTACTTCTTTGTTCCCTCGCTCAACCTTCTGTTGCTATATTCAATCAACTCTAACACCATCTTCTTTATGAACATCCCCATGTTCTCAGCTGTCAGTTCACAGAAGTCCATCTCCATCATCAAGAACTCTTCAATTTTTAGCATAAACATTCCACAATTTCCCCTGTAACAAACATCCTTTTTCATATTAGTATTTTACATGTTATTGTATTTCAAATGTAACTTATTAAGTTTTTTACTTACGATGAGTCCTGTTGTGGGCAGTCTTCAGCACCCTCAATAAAAAGCTGCATGTTTCTGTTAGTCCCTGTTTCTGTAACAGCAATGAATAATCGATCTAACAAGGAAGATTAAACGTAAAGATGAACACAGAATGAATCACCGTAAAACCTTCTTTGATAAACCGTGGAACGTACAACAGAATGATAAGCGTAAGGCTATGAATAATAAGTACGACGTTCTGCCTTTTCCTAAACCTCGGCTCCCTTTTTATAGGCGAGGTTTAGGTTAGGCGTACCAGGCTTTTAGCCTGTCTAAATGGGCCTAACACTTGGCCTGATTTCTATCTAATTTATGCACTATTTAAATACAAGGATTAAATATAAAGCTAATCTATGACCAACTTGATTCACAATTAAATATCTCCAACAATCTCCCCCTTTGTGATCAAGTGCCATTCTCTTATTGCTTCTGAGATTTGAAGTAGTGCTTCCTCAAACCAAGTGCATGTTCATACTGCCTCAGCACATTTCTCTTTTCGATGCGATCGTCAATGGCCTTTAAAATTGTCTCTACAGTAGAGTGTTCCTTTTGAACATAAGACGATGCCTCTTGAAGATTTTCCTCTAGCTTTGCCTTCATCTGTAGAATCTGCTCTCTGATTATCTTCAGTGTTCCGTCACAGTACTTCTCGATTTCACTGACTACCATCAGACGCTTTTCGTTCTTGTGGTTCAGATAGGTGACTGCTGGCGGTGTGAAGAAGATGTGGTAGGCTGGGAAATCTTCAAGTTCTGGACCATACAGTCTTGGCTTTGTCAGATTTGTCTTCTTCAGATTGCATTCAATAGCCATCTGTAGGTCATGTGAAGAGTGTACTCAGATCTGTCTAAGCATGAATCTCTTGATAGCTGCGAGGCCTTCGCTGTATACTATGCTCTGCCTGACTGGAAGGTATCTGTAGGCCATGAGCATTTGGTAGATGTCATCCGGTTTCAGCATGATGAAGTCATTCTCTTGACAAGTGAATTCGCTCCCATCGGTGCGTTGAAGTCTGTAAGTGTAGAATGTTACTCCATGATAGTCTTCAGCCTTCACTTGTAGAATTTGATGAATCGGGAGAATATTCGACTTCAGATCTTGTTCCATTAGTTCTCTCTGTGTACCGGTTGACCTTTGCAGCAACATATGCAGATGACCTCCAGCCTGCTTTCCTTTCAAGTGAGTAAGGCCTCTTAGCTTCAGTTCGTTCAGTGGCTTGACTCTGTCTGGTCTACGCCAGATATGCTCTCTGATTTCTTCTTGGAAGGGGGCTTTGATACGAACATTATCCCAGGGTTTCTCTGTCTTGGGAAGTCTTCCCGCTGTTTGTCTTACGACTGATTCAAGAGTCTTCTGGGATTCCTTGTAATTCTCCCCTTCCTTGCGTTCATCATCCTCGAGCCGTATAATATCTTCAGAGCATTTGTTGATCAGCTCTCGTAGCCACCAGTTTCTTTTCATGTCCTCTTGCTCGGCTTCAACCCGAAGATCATCCCATTCTGTCCATTTTCTTGGCCATTTGTCGTATATCACCGCCTCTTCCAGTGCATCATGGATGTCTTTGCCTGGGGAAATATATGGAATTCTTTGTTCAGGCGGTGATTGTTCCTGTGTAGAACTACCGGGTTCACTAGGATTGCCCGTTGACATCAGCTTAGAACTGGGTTCCAACTGATGGCCTGATGGAGAAGATGTACCAGTGGTAACATCATCAGGACTTCCATCCCCTCCTCGGTTGGTATCTCTGGGAGATACGCCTCGGGATGTTATTTCTAGCTCGACCATGCTAGATAGTTTGGCTGTGGAT